GGTCACAAGCAAAGGATAATATTTTGGTCCATATTCTCCTTCCAACTACTGATTGTTGGACTTGTGCGGGTGGTTGTAGGTAATGTTGATTGTATTTCACATGCATTCATATCTAGGAATTAAAATTTTGTAATAAAACAATGCCTGAAGTTTTGTTGTTTCGGGGGTTCCTCTTTCTAAACCACTCTATACATTGAGCTATAAGGAAGGTGGAGTTTTCATGTGCATGATTTCAAGGTGTGTTCAATTGCTACAAAGTTGGGTGCAAGATTTGGGGGTTTCAGTGCAAGATTTGGGCAGGGACGGTGCAATTTGTGCATCAATAATGGAGAGATGGCGCCCAGAGACCCATTGTTTCACCATCACTTTGAAAGGTGCAGGGATTGCACATTATTGATGGCATGGCAATGGCAAGATATTTTCAAATGCTGACAACATATGAGTCGTCGTGTGACATATGTCATGACCTCATTGGCATTAGGCATAACAATAACTCAATTTCTTGCCATTCACATCTCGTTTGATCATGACATATGTTTGCCGAATCCGTGATCACTGACAGAGCATTCAATTGATGAAGACGTGCATGGAATTCATGACTCGATTGCGTATCATGCAATTACTAGATGCAGTGTTATTCCCCGACATGTCAACCAACATACAAGGTGAGACTATGTTTCTTAGACTACATTAGAGATTTGCAAAGTACCAACGACTACAGTTGGGGTAGTAGTGTTGTTCTTACCTTCTTGTATCGATGCATGTGCAGGGTGACCATGGATAATAATGCTTGTCAAATTGGCAGTTCCTCATTATTCTTGAATTGTTGATTTGGGGACGTCTCGCCTTACTCTCTCCGAACATACACTCCCTCCCTTAGAACCTAATAGATTATATTGATCTAGAGTAAAGATGTCAAGTATATATGTTTACTAATATATTTCAAAATTATACTAAACCAAGATCATGTGTTAAAAATTAAATATTGTCCAATACCATCAATTTCTGTGTTCGTACTATACAAATTGTGAATTTTTAAAATGTAAATTGTGAACATTTAGTATGTAAATTGTGAACATTTGGACACGGGTCCACCTTACAAGGTGTGACCGGGTCCATAGAATAATTTGCGATTAGATAGCAACTAGCAAGTCCCTACCCACTATATTTTCCTTTGCATCAAATCAAAGGCGGAGAAGAACATGGCAAAGAAATTACAAAATTGGTGTCAATAGCAATGGTTAGGGGTTGTGAGTTCAGAACTATTCGAAGGTGATATTGTGAGTTAAGAACTAGTCGATAGTGAGAATCGAAGACGACGAACCTGAGATTGGAGATGGAAACTATGGTCTGTGAGTTAACTCGTTTCTTGACTCCGATTGATAGCCTTTTTCATTATTGTTTTTTTTTTCTTTTAATTTTTGAATTAAAAAATCTATGTTAACATTGTTCCGCCGAGGGAAATACTTTGAAGAGATCACTGCTAGGACAATAGGGTAAACGCCTAAGGATGTCAACAACTGAGGATGTAGGCACTGATGAGGAGGTGGAGCAGATATGTTTAACGAGGCTGATGGTTCTGGTGCAAATCCAGCTGAGGAAGTGCATTCTCATTTTCAGAAACAACTGTTAGCCAAACTAGATATTATGCTGGCTGAACAACAGAACCAACGCGCTGCGATAAGTCAGTTGCACAAATCTTGCACCCAACCACTTCACTCAACCTTTCAGAAATTAAGAACATAACAACAACACACCAGCAAATGCATTTTCAACTAATAATTTCACGTATCTGAATATAAAAACATAAAATATAAAAGAAATAGAGGGATATGTAATATTAAACTATGAAGAATATTTGTATTGATGACTTTGAAAATAGAAATGGTAACCACTATACGTATCAGCTACCAATATTTTGCTAATTATATCACTAATACGAAATACTTTTTCTAGTGTAATATTATTATACTTATTTATTTATTTATTTTTATAAAAAGAAAGTATATATGTTCGTGGATGCCTATTTAATGGGTGGTACCTATTGGACAATATTTATTTTTTAACACGTGATTTTGGTTTAGCATAATTTTGAAATAAATTAGTAAATATATATACCTAACTAACAGGGCTAGGTCGATCTATTACGTCTGATCACGAGGGAGGATGCATGGGCAGAGTTATAGTGGGGGCAGCTACCCCCCACTCCCACCCCATCCCCATATATAGACTTAGTAATTATATGTATATATGTGTGTGTGTATATATATATATATATATGTATATATATATATATATACATACATATATATATATATATATATATATATATATATATATATATATATGTATATATATACATATGTATATATATATATATATATATATATATATATATATACATATATGTATATATATATATATATATAGGGAAGGGATCATGTGCATTTGTGGCTTCCCGTGCGGATGTGCGGCGGATTAATGTGCGTGAGGTTTATACTTAATGTGCGTGAGATTTGTACTCAATGTGCCTGAGATTTGTACTTAATGTGCGTCATGTTAATATGCGTGAGTTTTGTACTTAATATGCCTGAGTATTGTGTTTAATGTGCGTGAGATTTGTGCTTAATGTGTGTAAGTATTTCAGAATTACAAGCTCAGAAGGAAGCAGAACAAAAACTCACGCACATTAACGCCCAAGCTTCTTGTTACTTCTTCCTTCAATTTGGCCATGGATTCTGGATTATCAGATACCTTCAATGTAGTTGGATGTTTATATAAATGACGCACGCACAATAAAATTTGCATAGCAGCTAGGTGTGGATTTCTGTTGTGTTATTCCCATAATTCTTAACCACCATAGCTCGCCTCCGCATCATCATCATCCTGAGGGGGCAAATGGCTACTGGGATGGGGAAGAAGCTGACATCAATATTTTCTGCTGCATTTTACACATTCACGTACATCTCAGGTACATTAAGCACAACACTCACGCACATTGAGTACAAATTTCACGCACATTAATCCACCGGACATCCGCACGGGAAGCATTCAACCGCACGGGAACCATTCACTATATATATATATATATATATATATATATATATATATATATATATATATATATATATATATATATATAGTACATGTTTAGGTACATGTTATCGGTCATGTGCAGTGCTTGCTAGTTTTTACTTACATTTAATATGTATTTTAATTTTTCACCCATATCCAACAATGGTCATTTTTTTATTATATTTTTTACCATATCCAACCATTATCATTTTTTTTAATATATTAATAATGAGATGTGTGATTTATAATATGTTTTATATTCGAATCATTTTATCAAAGTGCTTATGTTTTTTATTTTGTTATGATTATTTTTACAAAGTTTTGATATATTTTATTTTTCATCCATATCCAATAATATTTATAGTTATGCTTCCGATGTGTTATATTTGTTTTTTTAAACTATCTCTTTTGTTTTAAAATTTGCCCCAACTAGAAAAATTTTCTGCCTCCGCCCATGGGAGGAAGGGTATGTTTGGAGAGAGTAAGGCACAACGATATGCTCCCAAACTGTGACACCCGGTATTTTCCTAAAAATAAATTTTAGTCCCGATAAAAATATTTATAAGATATTTATTTTAAAACGGGCTCGTGTTTACTTATTATGGTGAACCAATATTTTTGTACAAAATATGTCTAGACCCAAAATGAGTTTTAATCCCTAAGGCCTAATAATTATTCTTTGAGCCCAAGTGCTTAATTATCCTAAGACTATATATACAATCGTTATGCTATGCATCCGTATGCACCATGCATGGTGCATACGGATGTCAAAACGACGTCGTTTTATTAAAAAACGCGCGTCTCCCCTTTAAAAGAAATTCAGGTTCGATTCCCAGCAACAACATTATATTGTTCATTCATTCTGGAATTTTAGTTCATTGATTATGGAATTATAGTTCATCGATTATGGAATTGTAGTTCATCGATTCTGAAATTTTAGTTTATAGATTATGGAATTTTAGTTCATTCATTCTGGAATTTTTAGTTCATAGATTAGATTATGGAATTATAGTTCATCGATTATGGAATTATAGTTCATCGATTATGGAATTTTAGTTCATATGTTGTTGCTGGGAATCGAACCTGATTTTTTTTTTTAAGGGGAGACGCGCGTATTATTAAAACGACGTCGTTTTTGCATCCGTATGCACCATGCATGGTGCATACGGATGCACAACATAATTTGCCCTATATATATATTATATAAGTCTCGAACCCCACATGTTGAGCCTATATGTATGTATAAATATAAGTATTAATATTTTGTGAGCCTAAAGTGTCTAAGCTCAACCTATGTTACCCACCCCAACTTCCTAACCCAACCCATTCATTGAATAACCCAATCGTTATACCCTAAACCACGGCGCACATAGCACTGTGCGCCGCGCGCCTCCCAAAATGACGTCGTTTTGGGAGGCGCGGTAGGAAGTTGCTGGGATTATGTGTATTTGTTCACACAGTTATGTGTATTTGTTCATATAGTTATGTGTATTGGTTCATACAGTTATGTATATTTTTTATACAATTATGTACATTCTTTTTATACAATTATGTACATTCGAATCAGAAAATTTGTGTGTATTATGTTAATAGTTGTGTATTATGTTAAAAGTTTATGTTTATTATGTATTATGTTAGATTATGTGTATTATCTTTTAAAAAGAGTATGTATATTTTGTTATATAATTATGTACATTCATGTATACAATTATGTGTATTCTAGTATAACATTATGTACATTCTTGAACAGCGGGTTTTTTTTTTTAAGAAAAAACTACTGCCATTCACTGGGGCGGGAAATTTAAAAAAAAAAATAAATTAAAACGACGTCGTTTTGCATCTGGGCGCATAGTGCAATGCGCGCCGTGGTGTAGGATATAAATTGCCTTGAATAACCCTACTCTTTGTTGTGTGTATGAATGCATTGTATCATTTCCATTCTTGAGCAGCCAAACACCCTTTCCCCTCCCTCTCGGCTTTGGCGTGAATGAACAACCGGCAACCCTTCTCGTCCTCTTCTTCCATCGTCGATCCCCACCCTTCGCGTTTCTCTTCTCGACCAACTTGCATCTCCCTTGAAGAAGAGCAACAGCGTCGCCCCTCTCCTTCGCTTTCAGCAGCCAACGTCGACAAGGAGATCAACGAGAGAACGTGCAGCAACATCCGGCGAGTAGCCTCTTCCCTCCGGCGATCTAAGCATCCTCCGGCGGCGTCTCCTCTGATCTCCGGCATCCCAGCTAGCAAGGACGGTACGAGTTCCTCGGCGTTCTCTCCTCTCTCGGCGAAACAGAGCAGGTTCATGGTGGTGGCAGTTCGGAAGCTGTGACAGTGGAGGTTTGTGGTGGCGGCGGTATCGACGGAGCTCGGTGGTGGCGTCTCTCCTCCGTTCCCGGCGTTCTCTGCTCTCCGGCGGTGTGTTGTTTGAGGTGTTCCCCGCGGGCAGAAGAAGGGTGGAGGTTTTCACCGTGTTCTACCCGCTGCCTCCCAGTGAGGAAGACGAAGAAGATGTTGATAGTTGGTGAGCTTCTTCCGTGTTTTGCTGATTAGTTTAGGTTAAGTAGTTGTATGTTGGTTAAGTCACTAAGTGGTTAATTAGTGTGGCGGTAAGGGGGTGTTTTATGTAGTAGTTTGGCTAGAGTTCGAATCCCTTAAGCTTTAATAGTTTGCTTTTGTTTATTAGTCTTAATAATGCTTAGTTCCTTAGCTTAGCTTATGGTTTAATAATTGTGATTACTTCACAATAGGATGCCTAGCTTAGTTGGTTGAGCTTGTGGGTAATTAAGGATAGATCTAGGTTGTTTCTATTTCCCTTTTGAGCATAATTAGTTTTGTATAGTACTCTTGTTAATTAGTTGGAGATCCGGTTTGATTCTCAGGTTCCCGTTTGGCATATGAGTTGAGCCTAGCATATGTTGGCGTTGTTTTGGTTGGATAAGCGATTGAGGTAACCCATGTTCTACAAAATCTATTTTGCTTACCTATATGATGATTTCTTAGATTCTACATGTACTATTTTGCTATGAAATGTGAGTGTTTATACATTGTCTTGTGAAAATGCATATCTAGAGCTTGTGTTTAGGGTTCTTTTATGCCATTGCTTGGCTATTCCTTTGATTCAAGTCATTTTGTTGTATTTGGTGAGTTTTGGCATGTTTTGGACTTGAATTTGAGCTTGGAGTTGAAAATCCCCGAAGGGATTGTTTTGGTACAGGACGTGTACCCGCGGGCGGAACGGCGGGCGGGGCACCACCCGTCGCCCCACCCGCAGGTACAAGGCCTCGTGGGAGATGTTCCCGCGGGAGGAACCACGGGCGGGGCACCACCCGTGGGTCCACCCGCGGGGAACACTGTGGTGTTTGATTGAATTGGGATTTGTTCCCCGTGATTCTTTTGACTCGGTATTTGGTTTTTGGATTTCCGGATGTTTTTTTGTAGAACTATTTGAGCGTCTTCTTGATGCTTCGTATGTCTAGAACTATATGGTAGGATTCCATGTAGGTTTTGGTGTCTTGAACCGTGCTAAGTGTTCAACATTGTGTTTCGTTGAACGGTGATGAGTCTTGTGTGTTCTTCGGAACTATCTTTGGTTTACCCATTTGATAAGCATGCTAGTTCGGTGTTTAAATGCTAGCGTGTGTGTTGTTTGTACCTTCCTATTGTTGATGATAACTTGTGTTATTCATCGTTGTTGTTGTTGGGCTGTGACCCATTCCTTGATTGAGTATGGTTTCATATCTTCGTTGTGATCCGTTGATTGATTCCTGTTGTGGTGTGATGTGTGTGTGGCTTTACCTGGATTGCACGATTAGTGGTATGGGACACTAGTCACCATGGTATTGCAGTGGTCCTCGTGGTGGCCATGACGCGATTATGGAGTTGTGACCTTTGTGTAAGGTTCATGTGATTCTTGGATGGCATGTGTTGCCGTGTGTGTGTACGGTACCCTCGTGTACTATGAAATTGGTGGTCTCGTTTGTGGTCGTTGGTGGGGGACGACGGTCCCAGGAGGGAAAAAGGTTGGACTAAGAAGTACAGGAGTCCTGGAGGTAATGGTTGGAAGAAGATACAAGGTTGGGGGTAGCCATAAGGTTGGAACCGGGCATAAGGAAGGCATATCAACTCGTGATGGGTGATGTCACGAGGGCTTGTGTAGCCGTGGTTGTGTGTTCTCTTCTTGTGACGTGTGTAGTCACAAAGGCATGTGTTGCCTAGGCATGAGTTGCCATTGGTCTTGTCTTTATCCTTTGTGTTGTGGTTATCCTTTGTGGTTTTGGGATGTGTTCCCGTATCCTTGTTGAGAGTGTTGAGTCTTGTGTTGACTATTGCTCTTGGTTTTGTACGTATATATATATATATATATATATATATATATATATATATATATATATATATATATATATATATATATATATATATATATATATATATATATATATATATATATATTCCGTTTCGAAAATGGCTTTACAACTTATATCTTATCTATTCTATGTATGTTATTTCACAAGTATTGGTGGGTTACCAGCATTATTCGCTGACCGGGCGTCGTCCCATGTTTTATTGTGTTCTTTCAGGTGATGTCTAGACGAGTGCGCGGTCTAGTGCTTGCTAGTATAGCTTCTCCCTCTTTGTTTTGAGGCCTGTGTGCCAGTTTAGATGTAGCACTTTGAGACTATGGGTTTAGATGTAAACATTGCAGATGTTGCCGTAGCGTTCATCCTTTTGGTGAACGTGGTATAACACCCCGTGTTTCGGATTATGTCTATCTATCTATCTTTCAGTCTTCCGCTGTATTTGTTTTTTAGTTCAGTTATCTGCATGTTTAAGGCTTTTAAATAGCATGTTTTTAGAGGGTGTTACAGTTGGTATCAGAGCCTAGGTTTAAGCCTAGGATGTTAAGTGTTGGACTTTAAAGACCTAAGTTGAGCTTAGGTTAGTGTTTGTAAGTTGAGACTCTAAGATGTTTAGTGAAGCCTTTAAGTTGTTAAGTACCTAAGCATAGGATTCTTAGGACGCGCGGTGAGCTTGTGTGTTACCTTTTGTTATCTGTGTAGTTCTTTTATGTTGTTCTGTTGTTAGCTCTAGTAGTTGTAGCTGTTGTTCTCGGTTGGTGTGAACCTTCTCGGTATGTTGCCTCGTTTTGGGTTCGTTGAAGACCTACCGAAGTCTGCGGATAAGAGAAAGAAGACCTGAAGATCTGTTGTCACAAGATAGTCAAGTCGTGATGGTTGCAGCTGGGCACACGGTCAACACAAAGAAGATGGTCTACTCTACTCGCAACCTAGAGTTAGCTACAACAATCTCCGTTCAAGCAAGTGATGTCGTTTCTCGTACGACATCGTCATCAGTTTCACGTTAATCCTAGAGTTGAAGTTTATCTTTCATGCAACCGAAGTCCGTTAAGAAGCAAGACATCATCTAGAGTTCGAAGATCAAGTTAGAAAACCCTCACTCGCGAGGGGAAGTCAAGAGCGGTCCCAAGCGCTCTAAGAAGATGTCAACATACACCAAGGGGTCATTTGTGGGTTAACGTGTTAGAAGCCTTCCAGAGTTAAAGAGCTACGAATCAACCTTGGACCGTCCCAAAGCACGAAGAGTTGAAGTACAAGATCGAAGTGTTCAGCATAGAAGTAGTTCTACCTACCTACGGAGAAACCAAGATCGGGAAAGTTCTAAGCAACGAACTTGGAAGTAAAAAATATCAAGATGGCCTTACCTGAAAAGCTTAGACCTTCAAGGTACCTAGAAGGGAAGAACATCGTTGTTGACAAGTCGCTTGATCCTGTGAAACGTGAAGAGGTTAAGAAGTTGTCGGTGAATGAGGGTACCGTTTATCCTAGTCGGCACACCTGGAAGGTTATGGGTAACATAAAGTCTTTTGGTAAGGGGGTTCGACAACAAAGAAGAAATGAAGTCGTAACCGAGTTGCAATCAAACGTTGGGGGCAGTCAGAAGACTCAAACCGACAAGAGCAAAGCAAAGATGGATTTGATCACCGAGTGTTCCTAAGTTGCAAGTGAGACGATGCGCCGAAGATTCCTGGTGAGAGATCTACCTAAAACCAGGAAGGACCGAGAAGTAGCTAATCTTGTTTGGGAAGTTTGAACAGTAAAAGAAAGGACAGTTAGAGATCAACCTATAGACCGATTCTACCGTTGGACCTTCATAAGTAAGACTTGATCGTGCGACAACAAAGTTTTCAGGGAAGATCTACCGTTGATCAAGACAAGAAAAGACCAAGTGGTTGTAACCGACTACCTTATGAAGATTGCAAAGTTATCAACTGTGAACAAGACTTAACCTACCGAGCTTCTAGTAAGGATATGAGCAAATCTTTGGACAAGGAACTATGTAACGTCTCTAGAGGTTGACTTTGGTGAAGACTTCAGTTTACGAAAAGTTCTACCGTTTGCGTTTGGCTTAAGGTTGAAGTTGAGTTCTACAATTCAACCAACTTTGGATGACCAACGGGAAAGAATCATACAGATCAAGAAGACAAGTTGGGAACTTGTGCTATGGACCGTGGATTGTTCCCTAAGGATGGACCAAGTTTCCCTTACAGTGGTGGTTATCGTCACGCATACAATGGACTCCTTACAAGGTTTTCTGATATCCAGAGTACAGAAGTTCACGATGCTAAGGAAGGTACCAGGAATACGTGGGTGCTTAGACCTCGATGATCTTCAGGAGCAATAAAGAAGGAAGTTTGGTTTGTAAATCACTGAAGTCTTTGGACGACAAGAACAGACAACCGGGTGTGCTTAAAGAAAGAGGAAAGCAGTGGTTAATGCTTCAACCGATCTTGAGTTAGCTAGAATGGACAGCAAGCCGAATCTCTAAGAAGATCAAAGAAGTTTGCTAAGAGCTTCGCTACCGACGCAATGATGAAGACCGATAAGGGAAGCAAGCCAACTCCTAGTTGCCTAGTCCCTGTGAGTTTCGCTCAGCCGTAACAAAGTGAAAGAAGAAACCAGTGTTTGAAGAAGGGTTTGTGGTGAAGATGTCTGTGATCTCAGTTTATGAAGAGGATCCGGTATAGATCTTAGCGCTAGAACGCGTCAGAATCAAGGTAAGGAACCTTCAGTTCGTCAAAGGTGCAGTGATCGAAGCGTCGAGTCGAAGAAGTCGCCTGTAGTCAAGAATTCTTAACCCTCTTTAAGCCGTTTTTCTCCCCTCTTATTGTCAAACCAAATGCCTTTTCTGGGAAACCCTTCCTATCTCTTCGAGTTTCGTTCTTGTTTCCTTCTTGTTTTTGATTCTGTACAAGGTGACAACCTCGTTTTCCTAAGTTGTAACCTTGAAAATCTTGATTTCCTCTCTAATCTACGCTATACTTGAGCCTAAATCTAGTACCTTTCGTTAGGAAATCTTTTCAATTCTTTCAAATCTCATTCTTGCTCCCTCACTTCAAATGATTCTGTGCAAGGTGGCAACCTTATTTCCTAAGTTGCAACTTTGATGACTTTGATCCTAATACTAGTTAACGTCGTCCTCCAGTTTGGAACCTAAACTCTCATCCTCTTTTCCTTTCCAATCTTCGTGTCCTTGAGTTTAATATCCAAACCTTTTCACCCTTTCTAACCTTTCGAAACAAATCTTTTCCAAAACCTAGTGTATATATATGTATATATTTTGCCCGCAAAAATATTTTTCTCTATATACTATCGTATTTTTGTGACACTCTTATCCCCAAAATGATTTTCTAGCTTCGGGGACGAAGCTTCTTTTAAGGGGGTGAGGATGTGACACCCGGTATTTTCCTAAAAATAAATTATAGTCCCGATAAAAAATATTTTTAATAAAAATATTTATATAGCTATTTATTTTAAAACGGGCTCGTGTTTACCTATTATGGTGAACCAATATTTTTTTACGAAATATGTCTAGACCCAAAATGATTTTTAATCCCTAAGGCCTAATAATTATTCTTTGAGCCCAAGTGCTTAATTATCCTAAGACTATATATTATATAAGTCTTGAACCCCACAAGTTGAGCCCATATGAATGTATAAATATAAGTATTAATATTTTGTGAGCCTAAAGTGTCTAAGCCCAACCTATGTTACCCAACCCTACTTCCTAACCCAACCCATTCATTGAATAACCCTACTCTTTGTTGTGTGTATGAATGCATTGTATCATTTTCATTCTTGAGCAGCCAAACACCATTTCCCCTCCCTCTCGGCTTTGGCGTGAATGAACAACAGGCAACCCTTCTCGTCCTCTTCTTCCGTCGTCGATCCCCACCCTTCGCGTTTCTCTTCTCGACCACCTTGCATCTCCCTTGAAGAAGAGAAACAACGTCGCCCCTCTCCTTCGCTTCCAGCAGCCAACGTCGACAAGGAGATCAACGAGAGAACGTGCAGCAACATCCGGCGAGTAGCCTCTTCCCTCCGGTGATCTAAGCTTCCTCCAGCGGCTTCTCATCTGTTCTCTGGCATCCCAGCTAGCAAGGACGGTAAGAGTTCATCGGCGTTCTCTCCTCTCTCGGCGAAACAGAGCAGGTTCATGGTGGTGGCAGTTCGGAAGCTGTGACGGTAGAGGTTTGTGGCGGCGACAGTATCGACGGAGCTCGGTGGTGGCGTCTCTCAACCTTCAAGGCCGGAGAAAAAGTGGTTGACTGTGGAACAAAGGATTTTGGTTATGTTGGTATCAGACTGTTTGTTGCCTAATAACAACAAAAGCAAGTTGTTGGGGAAGTTGGAGTGCACTTTTGCCTTTTGTCTCAAGAACATGGTTAAGTTCAACTTGCCAGCTTTGATGTTGCAACACATGGTTTTCTGTCGGGATCACAATCGGAAAAGCCTACCGTATGGGATAGTGTTAGTTGGATCTTGGTTAGGAGGGGTGTCACTGTGGATGGTTGTCTTCCGAAAGCCGTGGGAAAGTTGGTGTTGGATGCCACCAATCTTCAGAGTTGTAATCTGTTTCAGATGGATGATGGTGAGTACATCACGCTTGAGGAAGTGGCAAGGAAGGCACCTGAAGAAAGGGCAGAGTTGGCAGCCGAGCTTGGGATCCATGCCGGGAAGTTGAGTCTCGTCGTTCAGAGCTTGGGAGGTGATGAGGAAGCTGAAGATGAAGCCGATCGTGAGGATGAGGTGGGAGCACCGGAAGCCGTTGAAGCTGAAGAAAGTGACTCGGAAAGCGAAGAGAACCGACGAAGAAGAGAAGCTCGCACCAAGAGGGAGCACGACTCCATGTCGCATGAAGAGCGTGTTGTTGCCTTGCTTCGTCAGCAGAACCGCTTGATCGAGGAGGGCTTCGCCTACATGAAGACGCAGTTCGTCGCCGTGCACAACAGGCTAGATCAGATCGAAGCCAGTTCGAGCCGTAGAGAAGAAGATGATGAAGAGTCCGAGGAGTCGGAGAGCGAGTCCTTCTAGAGTGAAGCTGTGGCTACCGTGTTCGCCTTTCCTTAATAGTTGTATCTCCCTAGCCGTTGTTGCCGTTGTTGGTTGTTCGTTGTTTGCTTTTGTGTTTGTTTTCTCCTGTTGCCTTGTTGTTTAGATAGCTTAGTAGTAATAGTGGGTATTTTGTGTTGGTTGCCTTGTTCTTAGTTGTTGTCTAGTAGTCGGCGTTGTGTTAAGATTAGAGTTCGTGATGCTCAATCTATTCGTTTGTTAAACTCTTGCCAATCTTTGATTTCATATACCTCCTTTCTTGTTTTGAAACTCTTGAGAAATCTGTTGAGATTGACCAAAAGAATTCGTTCTTGAATCCCTTGTCACAACATTGTTTCCTTTCACCGTTTGCTTGTAATTCGTCGTACCCAAGCTTCGGGGACGAAGCTTCTTTGAAGGGGGAGAGGATGTGACACCCCAACATCCAAATTCAATTAACGGATTAATTGAGTAATTAATCCTATTTCAATTAGTGAATTAATTCCTAAAATCCTGAAAATTCAATACTTGTGGACTAATAATTGACTAGTCAACCCTAAAGTCAAAGTTGTACCTTGAGCTTTGTTAGGAGTTCCCTTGTTCCTTACATTTTTTAATGTTAGTAAGGGCATTCTTGACCTTTCACATGGTGTTAGTATTGTAACCTAACCTAGTAGACCATCCTCATTCCATCCTTACACTTTTCTAAAAATCTAGCTCCACCCTCTCTCTAAAAGGTGAGTAGCTTTTCTTCCAAGCCAAGTTGGAGCCTTGCCAAGACTTCAAGAGTTGCTTCCAAGATTCAACCTTTCTTATATTTGGGCATCTAGGAGGGTAAGATCTAAGTTCATCTTGTGTTTTTGGTTTTATCTAAGGTGTCTTTTCTTAAAGTTAGGATCTTTATGATCTTTTGGTTTGTTCTTGAAGTGGGTTTGGAAAGTGAGCCTTGTGAGGAGCTTGTTGAGGTGTAAAGTGAAGTCTTTATTCTACAAGAGGTAACTCATGCTCTACAAAACCTATTTTGCTTACCTATATGTGATTTCTTGGATTCTACATGTGTTTTGCTATGAAATTGTGAGTGTTGATGCATGATCTTGTGAAAATGCAAATCTAGAGCTTGTGTTTGAGGTTCATTTGTGCCATTGCTTGGCATTTCCTTTGATTCAAGTCATTTTGTTGTATTTGGTGAGATTTGGCATGTTTTGGACTTCAATTTGAGTTTGGAAAAGAAAATCCCCGAAGGGATTATTTGTATAGGTATATGTACCCGCGGGTGGAACGACGGGTAGAGCTCCAACCCGCCGCCCACCCGCGGGGAACGTAGGCCAGTGGGTAGTGTACCCGCGGGCAGAACCACGGGTGGGAGCCTACCTACCCGTGGGTCCAACCGCGGGGAACACTTCGGTGTTGTGATAGGATTTGATCCCCGTGATTCTTTTGACTCGGTATTTGGTCTTTTGACTTCCCGTTGTTCTTTTGTGGAACTATTTGAGTGTTCTCTTGATGTTTCGTATGTCTAGAACTATATGGTAGGAATCCATGTAGGTTTTGGTGTCTTGAATCGTGCTAAGTGTTGAACATTGTGTTTCGTTGAATCGTGATGAGTTCTTCGCAACTACGTTTGGTTTACCCGTTTGGATAAGCATGCTAGTTCGGTGTTTAAATACTAGCATGTGTGTTGTTTGTACCTTCCTGTTGGTTGATGATAACTTGTGTTATTCATCGTTGTTATTGTTGGACTATGATCCATTCCTTGATTGAGTATGGTTTCATATCTTTGTTGTGATCCGTTGATTGATTCCTGTTGTGGTGCGATGTGTGTGTGGCTTTACCTGGATTGCACGATTAGTGGTATGGGACACTAGTCACCAAGGTATTGCAGCGGTCCTCGTGGTGGCCGTGACGTGATTATGGAGTTTGTGGCCTTCGTGTAAGGTTCACGTGTTTATGGGGGATAACATGTGTTATCCAGGGCATGTGTTGCCATGTGTGATCGGTACCTAGTGTACTATGAAATCGGTGGTTTTGTTGGAGGGACTGTTAGAGGGGGAACGACGGTTCCCGGGGGAATAAGGTTGGACTTGGTGTACAGGGGTCCTGGAGGTAAAGGTTGGAACTAGACATAAGGTTGGGGGTAGCCATAAGGTTGGAACAGGGCATAAGGAAGGCATATCGACTCGTGATGAGTGATGTCACGAGGGCTTGTGTAGCCGTGGTTGTGTTCTCTTCTTGTGACGTGTGTAGTCACAAAGGTATGTGTTGCCTAGGCATGTGTTGCCGTGGGTGAGTTGGTCTTGTCTTTATCCTCTGTGTTGTGGTTATCCTTTGTGGTTTTGGGATGTGTTCCCGTATCCTTGTTGAGAGTGTTGAGTCTTGTGTTGACTATTGATCTTGGTTTTGTACTTCTATACTTATGTATTCCGTTTCGAAAATGGCTTTACAACTTATATCTATCTATGTATGATATTTCACATGTATTGGTGGGTTACCAGCATTATTCGCTGACCGGGCGTCGTCCCATGTTTTATTGTGTTCTTTCAGGTGATGTCTAGGCGAGTGCGCAGTCTAATGCCTGTTAGCATAGCTATTCCCGTTGTTTTTATGGCATGTGTGCCGCTTTAGTTATAGACTTTGATGACTTTTGGATAGTTGTAAACAATGCAGATTTTGCCGTAGCGTTCATCTTGGTTGGTGAACGTGGCATAACACCCCATGACTTGGATTTTTATTTATCCAGTTATCTTTTAGTCTTCCACTGTGTTTGTTGTTTAGTTGTGTTATCTGCATGTTTTAAGGTTTTTAATTAGCCTGTTTTAGGGGGTGTTACACTAACTGGGTAAGAAGTTTAGGATTCCTAATTAGAATCTGAATAGTAAAAGGTCTACTTTCTTTATTCCTAACATGATTAAAGGCTTAATTAGAGATAAGGGTCCATGGTCTATTGTGGACCACATTAATTAATTAAGGAGATTCTAACTAAATTAAATCTTTTTTAACTATTCTTTAATGGAATTAATTAAATAATTAATCCGGGATTAAAGCCCGTAACACGGGGTGTTACATGCAGGATTATTGAAACCCTTAAAGATACCTCAATGGAAATGGGAACATATATGTATGGATTTTGTGAGTGGATTACCGAAAAGTCAGCATGGAAAAAACACAATTTAGGTTATTATGGATTGACTCACTAAGGTTGCATATTTTCTACCCATTAAGAAGACAACTTCATTGAATGACCTAGCTGAGTTGTATGTGTAATACCCACTATCTTGGAAATAAAAAAAATATACCTATGTTATTAAAATAGGTCAACAAGTCAAAGGTTATTAAAATTGATATTGGATGAATTTACTAAATTACCCCTCTTTACCCTTAAAGGTTAAGGAACCACTTTGGTCTTGGATAAACATTTCATTTGAAAGAAGATAAGGGGAGCTAACTAGAGAGAGATAGGGGAAGGAAAAACCTTGGAGCTTTGATCTCCATCTTCTTCAAGCTTAGATCTCAAAGCTATTGGAGTATTCTAGGTAAGTTTGACCTCTATATTTCACTCTTTGAGTTGGGTTTATCACTTGAGCCCTAAGATTAATGTTTGAAAATATTAGGGATTTTGACAAGGAGTATTTGGGCGAGCCTAATAGCTAAGATTTGGATGTTTTTAGGTAAGTGATTAACTTTTCTCTCCTTATTTTGGAAAACCCCTAAATATTATGAAATAATCTCCACTACTTTGAATCCCCATTTTAAGGTTAGTATGAGTTAAAAATATTTTGGACTATGATTATGTTTTGGGCCTGAAATGCTAAGCTGAATTCTGGATTGAAATTGTATTTGGGTTCGTAGGAATTGTGATTTCGGAATGTATTTTTAAGCTAAATTAATTCTGACTGATATAGTCACCATGTTTAGAGACGGTAGAGTGGTTTTGTGGTTGTTGTGTAGGTAGTAGGGCGTGGGTTCGACTCCAACAGCTAGCATATTGTGTGTGTTTGTTTTATATCATATGCCTTATAAAAATGGTTTGTTTGTTTAAAGTGAGACTTGAATTCTTAACCTCTTGTTTATTTATTAACTTTAAGTTCTTTCCACCTAAGCCATTTCAATGCCTTTGAAATTACTTTGGTTTAATAAACCATTCTATGATGTTTAAAGAGTTATGTACTAAGAAAATTATTATTTTGAGAATGGTTTATACCTTGCATATTTCTTAGTTTGATAAACTTATTACCTATTTTGGAAATATGAACTTTGTTATGTGATTTTAAGCAAATGATTTTTGCTACATCGGGCTATTTGATTATAAGAACTATTTTGATTATTTGATCAAACTCATGAGGCAACCTACATTTTGTTGTTTGTTTTGTTTGGCTTGGAACGTTCCTAATTGCTCATTCCGAATCGTCGAGCTTGACTCATTCCGAATCGTCGAGTCTTTCGAATTATTTGTTGGAACGTTCCATCCGGCTCATTCTGAATCGTCGAGCCTGACTCATTCCGAATCGTCGAGTCTTTTTGGACCATTATACCGATAATGGCATGTGCCACATAATATAATGGTGGTTGTAGATTTCCAATGATTATATGTAAAGGAATGATTGGTGCTTTTGAAAGTATTGTATTATGACATAATATTGATGCCCATGTAGCTAAAGTTTTTCGTTTTGGGAATTTGTGTATAGTATGATGGAAATATGTTATGATTTTGATATAATTTAAGGATTGAGTTTTGCATCTAGTTGTTACTCTAAAGCTTTTTGTATTATATTGGGGCTACTTGATCCGGGGTTGAGAGGAGTATCACTTACTGGGCATTAGCTCATTATTTGTATTTTTCTCCTGTTTCAGAGTAGTTAAGGACATGTGAATAGCACGAGCACAAGTGGTGGGGTCTCGAAGGTGACTTTTGAAACTTGGAGACTTAGTCCTAGTTTTGGAGCTTATCATGGATTTTTGTTTATTTAGACTTTCCCTTTGACCCTTTGTATTTTTGGTAGACCATTGTGCTTGGTTTTGGTGCTTGTGATGCATTTTGGACATACTACTCTTAATTATAAATATCTAATAGTGGATTTGATGAGTTTTTGAGAAGAACAAGTTGATTATATTTTATAATTTTGGGTTGTGGAATTATTGTATATTCAAGAGTTATTATGAAGATTCTGAGAGGTATGTATGGTTAGGCTTCGTATTGTTACAGGTCTTCACGTAACGATACGGCCGTGTCATGTCCTAAAAGTGGGGCGTGACAGTATGTGAATGAAATTGTAAGGTTACAACGAGCCATGGGGACTGAATTAAAATTAAGCACTGCATTTTGTCCACAAATAGATGGGCAAACCGAGAGGACTACTCCGACCTTGGAGGATATGCTTCAAGCTTGTGTCTTGGATTTCAAGGGTAGTTGGAGTAAATACTTAACTTTGATTGAGTTTGAATATAACAATAGCTACCAATGAAGTATAGGAATGACACCTTTTGAAACTTTATATGGAAGGAAGTGTAGATTTCCTTTATATTGGGATGAAGTTGGAGAAAGAAAGATCTTAGGACCAGAACTTGTACAACTCACAGTTGAGAAGATTAAATTAATTAAGACAAGAATTAAAGCGTCTCAAGACAGGCAAAAGAGCTGTTGGAATTCAAAGTTAGGGATTTGGTGTATTTAAAGGTTTCACCAACTCGAGGAGTAATGAGGTATGGAGAGAAAACGAAATTAAGTCCACGTTACATTGGACCGTTTGAGATTCTGAGTAGAGTTGGTAGTTTGGCTTATGAGCTAGCACTACCACCACAATTAGCTGGAGTTCACAATGTATTCCATGTATCAATGCTACGAAGGTACATTGCAGATCCGAGTCATGTGGCGGAGTATCAATCACTACAAGTTAGGGATGACTTAATTTATGAAGAAGTACCTCTACGCATCATTAACCGAAAGGAACAAGTATTGAGGTCCCGAGTAATCCCATTTGTTAAAGTGCAATGGTCACATGAAATTTCCCGAAAAGCTAATCATAGGTTTTTCTCTCCATCGGAACAATAGGGCCGTTATGCTCATTACTAAACTTGTTGAAGAGATGAAATATAACCAAGGTCTATCTTTTTTATCAGAGGTTGAATCGATCATCAGAAGAAGAATTAGGCCAAAAATTAGGATACATTCTAGGAAAATCAAACTTCCATCGAAGACAAGCAAATGAAAGGCTTTCATAAAAATTCTCGTGGAATCGAGAATGAAAAATCGAGAATGAAAAATCGAGAATGAAGTTTTCATTCTGTACATGCCAGCTCATGAATTAGTTACTGCTTCCAATTTAAAAAAAAAATCCCAATTGTGTCGAACTTTCCTTTTTTGGAATGGAATATTTATGGAATCTCCATGAATAGGATCAAACCTTATTCCATGGTATTTACATGAGGTTCCTCTTTATGAAAGTCCCCGAGAGGGCTTAGTTGATCCATGATTTATATTTCATCTTTCGTTTGTTTCGAGAAATCTATCGATCCATTCTGATTCTTTATTTTTCTCTTGATTCTTTTCCGATCGAGATGGATAGATCCTGTTCATGGATTAACGAAAATGTGCAAAAGCTCTATTTGCCTTTGCCTTTGCCATTCTAAGACCCCAAGAGAAGCAACATGGGAAAATGAAGATGATATGAAGGATAGATATCCTGAACTCTTCAAGTTTAAAGGTATGTAAGTTTCAAGGACGAAACTTATTTTAAGGAGGGGAGATTGTAATACCCACTACCCTAGAAATAAAAATATATCTATTTTTATTAATTAGGTCAACAAGTCAAAGCTTATTAAAATTTGATATGGGATAAATTACTAAGTTACCCTTCCTTATCCTTAAAGGTTAAGGAATCACTTAGTCTTGGATAAAAATCTCATTTGAAAGAAGATAAGGAGAGTTGACTAGAGAGATAAGGGGAAGGAAAAACATGGAAGCTTTGATCTTCATCCTCTTCAAGCATAGGTCTCAAGTTATTGGAGTATTCTAGGTGAGTTTGAACTCCATTTTTCACTCTTTTTGAGTTGGGTTTATCATTGGAGCCCTAAGATTGATGTTTGAAAATATTAGGGATTTTGACAAGGAGTATTTGGGTGAGCTAAATAGCTATGATTTGGATGTTTTAGGTAAGTGGTTAACTCTTCTCTCCTTATTTTGCAAAACCCCTAAACTATTTTGGAATCTCTACTACTTTGAATGCCCATTTAAGGGTTAGTATGACTTAAAAGTATTTTAGCATATGGTATGTTTTTGGACTATTAAACTTGACTAAAGATATCCTTGGGCATGCCTAAGTTTGGATTTTATGAATAAGTGAACATGACTATATTTGACTATATTCGTATGTGTATGATTTGTACTAAGGTGTTTTGCTCTAAAAGAGGATCAAGTAATTTATTTGACAAGTTATACTTTTGCACTAATCTTATAATCAAATAAATGTAAACTTTCAAATTTTAAAATTGTTTATTATTTCATCTTTAATTTTATTATTAAAATATATAATAAAAAAAATTATCCGTGCATCGCACTGATAATTTACTAGTTTTCTTGAAATCAAAAGGCTAGTACAAGTGTTAAAAAAAAGGTTAGTACAAATTTAAAAACTTGAAAATTAAAAGTAATTATTTGTA